AAAAAATGAACAAAAAAAAAATAGAGAAATGTAAATTATTAATTAATATAAATTAATTTACATAAATTATGATGTTATCAAAATAATCCTCAATAAATTTGAATTTCCCACTACACAGTAAAAAATTTTGCGTCAAAAAATGTTGTGTTAGAAATTTTTGTGTTAAATATTTAATACTTTTATGTGTAAATTTAACATTTATTGTGTTAAACTGACACAAAAAAGTGTTAAATATTTAACATAAAAATTTTTAACACAAAATTTTTTGACGTATTGACGCAAAATTTTTTACTGTGTAAATAAAATATGTTTATTTATTTATTTAGTTTTGTATATGTCAATGGAATAAAACAAAAAATTTCGACCAACTAAAAAAAATTTTTTTTACACACTTTAAACGCAAAACAATGAACAGAGTTTTATACACATAATCTCTCATCCATTAAAATTGGTCTTGATGTAATACTTATTAATGATAGTTATTAAATAAATTATCATGTAGATAATTTATTAACTGACAATATTGATAGAAATTATATTAATAAATGTTATTTTATAAAACATCAACCTTTAATGACGCAATACTTGTAAGAATAATTTTATCCACAGATTCGGTAGAATCTGGCGCCAAGTTCCGTTCTCAAGCCAGACTACCGAGTGTGTATATACCGTAAGCAGAACGGTTTTTTGAGGTTACAAATTTTTTTTCTAATTTAATTTGATTTTTTTTTATATGATATTTTATAATAGTAGTTCATGCTTTTTATTACGCGTATTACTTGATTATTATCAATTACACGCCAGGCGGCGCAAGAATAACTTTTACATGAACTATAGCTTAAAGGGGATAGTTTCTAGTTTGTCACCGGAAATGCATTGAATTAAAATTGTCAATTTTTATTATAATTACAAAAAATACTGAAATCTGAACAAAAACAGTTTCACTGTAAAAAAAATCGCGCCAAGTCCTCGTTCATAAGACTATTAAGAAAAAAAAATTAGTTTTTTTCTTTATAAAAAGATATAAAATAAAAAAATTAAAAAATTCAAGTAACCGATATGATTGTTTATGATTTTCGGAAATTAAAAAAATTTTGTTGTAAATTTAAAAATTAAAAGACACAATTTTGGAACGTACTTGGTGTGCGTCATTGTGTACTTCAATTTTTTTTTAAAAGTCCTAGTAGATAGACTTTAGGAATTTCATAAAAAATGAAATATTTCGTAACCACGCACACTAAATACGTTCCAAAATTGTTTCTTTTAATTTTTAAATTTACAACAAAATTTTTTTTAATTTCCGAAAATCATATACAACCATATCGGTTACTTGGATTTTTTAATATTTTATTTTATATCTTTTTGTAAAGAAATAAAATTTTTTTTTCTTAATAGCCTTATATGAACGTGGACTTGGCGCGATTTTTTTTACAGTGAAACTGTTTTTGTTCGGATTTAATTTATCCATAATAATTCAATTAAAAAAAATTAAATTAACTATTAATTAAATCGTTGAAAAATTGAATTTTTAATTACGTAAATCCCATTCGGGCCACTTTTTTCGTACCCAAAGATCCATCCAATCATGATATCAATGCAGCTAGGTAATTTTTCAATATATTATAAATCAGCACAACTTTTTAATGATGTAAACAAACTAAAAATACCAGTTTTTTTTTATATTAAGAAACGTATATTGGGTATAAAAAAACTTGAATAAAAATATTTAGTATTTTGGGTGGAAAAAAACTTTTTTTTCAGTGCGGGTTTATTTTTGCACAAAAATTTTTTACAACTTACAATAAAAATTTATAAATTAAATATAGATGAGGATTTAAATAAGTTTCTTCTTTAGGAAAAATAAAATTATTTCAAAGAATAGAAAAAAACCGACGGCAGGATTCGAACCCGTGCCTTTTGGGTGCAACAATAAGACAGCAATAATTATTTATTTTTACAATAACTTACGGTTTGCATCGCTGAAAAAATAAAATTACAATGGGACATTTTTTATGGAAGTATTAAAAGATATTTTATTACAAGTTCTACTGATTCTTTATTTACCCTCTGTAGTGTCAAAGGTAGTGAATAACAATAATATGCATAAAATTTATTTAAAATAATAAGCCTCGATTTTCTTGGATAAGTGGTTTGAACAATTAGGTTAAGTAACTAGCCCTCCTATTATTTATAGATCATAACATTGTTAGATATAGGATATAGGTTATATATGGTAACATACATGGTTAACATAATGATAATAGGAATAAAGATAAGATAATATATGTATACATACGAAGGTATACATAAGCATATGATTAAAAATTGGAAATAGTAAATATTGAAAATTGCAAAAGCAAAAAAAATATAATTCACATCGATAGAAACGCAATGCGAAGTTATCCCAGGAGTCCGTCAAGTCTGACCAAAACGGGGCTGAGAAGATATCCCAAAAGTGCACCAAGAAGAGGAAGACCGACTAGAAAGTCGTCCAGACTTTTGATTGTGCTTTTCTTTTCACCACTATCTTCACGCTTAACAACTTCTCGAGCGATAAAAATAATAAATTAATTATAATAAATAGAATTAGATAAATTATTGACGAGAAAAAGTAACTTACCGTGAGCGGTGATGACGTATACGCACGCCATCAAGATGAAGAAGGTAAAAAGCCTGTCTTTGAACATTTTCGAGGGTGCGATGAGCGGGTTTAGTTACAAGTAGAAGAGACAGCTGAAGAAAGACTGAAGTTGTTGTAAATTTTAGTCAGTAATATTAATATTGTTAGACGACGTTTATAATAAATTGAAATGGATAAGCACTATTTATCTACGTTCTATGTTTTTTAACATTTACGTAAACAAATAATTGGTAGGTAATTGGAACGTTACTTGTTTTGGCGATAACTTTAACCACTTGTCGTTTACCTTGAATGAATTGCAAGTTTATGAATTTTTTTGATATTTAATATTTTAGTTTATTTAAATAATATTTTATTCGAATTTCCTACATATTATAGGTGATTCATAATTAACCATTGCATTTGTTCTTATTAATTATTTTTTTTTTATTTGCTATTTGACGATTCAGCTCGGCGAATATTATATGATAATATTCATAAATAATATATACAATACTAGAAATAATATAAGTTGTTTAAGGAGGTTCAAGCGAATCTAATGTAAAAAATAATTTCCAACTTTGAGCTTTGAAATTAAGTATACGTATAAATAAATACGTCATTTATCTAATCCCAAAATTTAAAAAAGATTCACCGTTTAGGTACTTAGATATTAAATTTTAAAAATCACATATTTTATCTCCTTATACACGGGCTCTTATGG